CCCCAAAACCCCAAAACCCCAAAACCCCAAAACCCCATCGTGGCTATTAATAATTGATATTTAAGAAAATGGAGGCATTTCAACAAAAATTTTTCGAGTCTATTGACAAAAAGGGTAAAAACTTATCATAACCTATAGAAACGATCTCAAAATCGATTGCTTTTCTACAGCAAAAACAACTGTTTGATCCGCTGATAGAGGCGATCAGGAACACCTCAATGAGCTGCTTTAACTCTATATACCAGGAAGAAGTCAAGAATGTGGGTCAAAACCTTGATTCTCTAGACGAAGACATCGATCATAGTAAGTTATTCTTGCCGTATATATAACCTCATGACTAATCTTTGCTAATGCGACATAGGTTGGTCAAAGAGAATCACCCTGTTCTCGAATAATCTGGTCGGCATTCTTGAAACAATAGTTGAAAACTCCAGAACAGAATTCTTTAATCGTAAATAAGCTTAAAGGTAAGAACGGGGTAGATATCTAGCTTGATTGTCCTCTGCTCTTACAATACATTACCACATCTGTTCCTATTGGGGCTAATTTTATCTTTCCATACAAATACAAAAGGTGAACTCAAATCTTCTTAACAAGAGTATGGAGTGAATTTCAATGATGATGAAGAGATCACCAAGAGAGCCTGGAAAGAAGTTTATGCTACAGCATAGCTGTATTTCTATAATACTGATAACTTTGCACTACTCTTGTTATTGGTGCACACTCTAGTCCTCGTTGGAAAATGGGAGTTCTATAAAGTTACTAGATTTCATTCTTAATTTTTGGGACGGAAATTATGATCTATAGAGAAACCAAGAGTTTACCAGACTTATGACAATGGCCCACGAGAGGTAATTGATGGTGGAAGTTTTGGAAAGCCTAGTAATTTCATAATTGAAAGTTCGAAGAAAAAGGTAAAAGGAAGTTAAGGAGTCCTGGGTTTTATGGTTTTAGGGCTTATTTTTCTAAGATTTCTTTGAGTTAACATTACTGAATGATTGTCCAACCAAAACTTCCTTCAGCCCTAAGTTTTAATCAAGTTTTTCTAGTCTTGATCCCCATTGTACAACTTCCAGACAGGCCCAGTGAATTCCTCATTGGAGGATTCAAAGGGATCTAGAAATTTGGCAACTGAGATTTCTCTAAAGGCTTATCCTTCTTCTACCAAAAAGTTACACATGAGACATGGGTCGATTAACAGTTACATAAGTAAACACCACTAAGAACCAGAGATAATCCTAATGCATATAGGTAATTCGCCTTCAAGCTTTGGAAAATCTACTGAGAAAAACTCCAGAAATTTCATGACACAGCCAAAGTAAGTCATAGCTCGAAACCTAACTGTTTTCGGTCTCGGTTGACTAATCTTTAGAAATATAATGAAGACCTTGTCCAAGGAGAGAAAGTCAAGACCTCAAAGTAAGAATAGGGTCAAAAAGTACTACGAGAGAGCAACCAAGCTCTCCCCAAGAAATTGGATCAAGAAGAATAGTGAAGCAGGTCTGAGCATCAAACCTGGCTCAGGCAAGGTCAAGCAGAAGTTAGTCACCTCTAGATGAGAGAGGAAAAAGGGAATTGAAAGTATTGCATCCCGGTTGTCTCTTGTATCGTCAGCTAAGAGGCTTAAGAATTCCTAAATTGCCTTTAAAAATTCAATTTAGTGCTGTTTTTAAGGGGTTTTGGGGTTTTGGGGTTTTGGGGTTTTGGGG